GTAAATACAGGGTGAGCTCCAGGTGCTCTGGCCTTCAACTCCTAGAAGCCCCTGTCAGCATCTGGAGATCTAACTTCTTTCCACACCCATAGAAAACCCCCGAAGGCTAGTTTGCTCAGACTGTAAAACTCTCTTCGGATGCAAAAAGGAGTAGTAAGACCTGACATTGGCCTCTGGATTGGCCAGGAGCGTGGCCTTCGGCACTCAAGGAGGATTGGATTTAGGGTTTAGGGAAAGCTGACACAGTGTCCTCTGGTGGGGCCCCTCCTGTCAGAACTTTCTGGTGACCTCACATGTTGGGCAGAAGCAGGACTCCGAGCCACGTGGAGTGGTGGCACCCAGCCATCGTTTGAATTTCCCACTGTGCCCAGAGTAGCTCTGCCAGGAGCATGATGGGAGATTTAAAAGGCAACGAGACAGAGCTGTGTGATGCTTTCAGAGTATACCTCAGGGAAGGGGAGGAATGGCTCCATTTCCATTTCTCCCACTGGATCGCTCTCAGTCTCCAGTGACATCCTCTCCCAGAAATGAAGAACTTCACAAAATGTCTTATTGGGAATGACCCGAACTGAAATTCGTGCTCATTTGTAACAGCCAAATTCAGCAGCTGCTCCCAGCATGGTGAAAGCATGAGAATGTTGGTTTGGCTCTCCAAACATGCAGCTTTGTCCTGCTCTAAGCCCTGAACGTGGCCATGGCAGATGTCGATGTCCCCAAATTGCCAGCCATGCGCATGTGTTCCATAGTCTCGGCTAATGGGCAGTATAAAAATGAAATAAATAAATAATGTGGGCAGCTCTCCCATTTTGGCCTAATGCAAATTTTATACTTCATGCAAATTCCCTGTAGGTTGCATCAGCCCTGCTTTAGTCTATGGAGAAAAGGTCCACAGATTTCCTCTCCTCCCAAGTGCTCCCTTTTCACTGCATTTCTATCGCAAGCCACAGTCTCAGAAGCAGACAGGCAGCAGGCAGAGCTGAGTTGTCATTCAGAGAGTCCTGGGCATCTTGAGCCCTGCATACTTGCTCGTCCCTAACAGAGAGAACTCTTGTTGCATCTGCCTGCCATGTCACTATTAACAATGAGGAACCTCTCCAGGAAAGAGTTCCAAGCTCCAAATCAGTGTTAAACATACATCCAGACATTGAAGAACCAAGCACTGAGAGCTTTGAGTTTGAATGGGCGAATGTCTGTTTCGGTTTAATTCATTTTTTAAAAAATTAAAGTTCTTTTTGTCCTAAATATGGAGACCTTAGAGAGCCCTAGTCTAGTTTCCAAGCATGAGCACCCTCCCCCCACACTCCCCAGTTTCACATTGCTGCAGCTGCTGCTGGAGGCAGATTCTCCCAGGGGTAGCTTGTAAAATGCCCCACTTTCCCACGCATTGAAGCGGCCTTCTGTGAGTGAAAACCTGCAGCCAGTGCCTTCCTGGAGCATCCTCCTAACCTTGGTTGCTCGTTTTGTCCTTCACACGCGCTTCCAGCCCTGAGAACTGTCCTGCGGGGATTCTCGACGCCTTTGCAACTGCATGGTGTGAATCCCACGAGCCGTCTCGGGTAGCTTGGTGATTTGAGCTCTGTTTTGAATAATTTACGAGGAGGGGTTAGTCAGACTTTATTGGTAATCCAAGCTGCATTATTCAAGGATATTTACTGACAGCTATGGATTAAGCCAGGCTCTGCTTTTATCCGAGGGTGCTCCGAAATGTCCCGGTACAAGGGTTGCCCTTTTCTCCATGTTTGACCTGCTGTTATGGCCTCTGAGTGTTTGAGTGTGTGTTTTTAGTCACTGATTCTATCATAGTACATCACAGCTTGAACATCTTTTGTGGGTGTTAAGGTTGTGCACAGTGCACAGAGCTCCTAGATCCGTAAAGCATCCCCAGTTTTCCTTCAGTGGAACTCTACACTGATCCCATCTGAGTCAGTATTTTTTCTGCTGAGCAGCCACAGCTGTCCAAGTGTTTAGATGGGGATCTTTCCAAACCCTGCCTGGAGATTCCGGGAACTGAACCTTCAACCTCTTGCAAGGAACCCAGGTGATCTTCCACTGAGCTATGGCCCTTCCCCTAAACACTGAGAGCTGTCATAGTTTAGAGCTCTAAAAAGCCATGAAGTAGTCAAGTGTCTTTGGACAAACCATGAACAACCCATCAAAGGAACCCATAGTATGTTCACTCTTGTTATCTTGGCTGGGTTCAGACAATGCAATAAGCCATGTTTCAGCAATAAGCTACAGTCCAGCGACAACCAACCCTCTACCCATCCTCAACTCTTCAATGAGTGTTATTGTGCTGTCTGAATGCAGTCACTGCTTCTTAACCTCTCCCTTTCTGTGCCTCCTGTGCCTTCAGGGATATTACCAACCTATTTTTCTGGGTCCCTTAAGGATTACCCAGATATTGCATGTAACATGCTGTGCATATTCTAAAGTAATATAGTGATGCTAAATATTCTAACGGTGTAAGTAGCTTTTGGCCCAGTCTCCAGTTAATCACCACCATTTTAATGTCTCAACTGAACCAGATACCCACTCGTATACATATGCACACGCACACACTTTCACAGAGCTGTGCATCCCCCTGAATGGCAGGGTAGGACTATGTAATCATATCCCACCGTTTTCCCTCCCAAGGTGCTCAAGGCAGTCCTCCTCCTCCTCCTCCTCACAACAACAACAGCAGTCCTGTGGGCTGAGAGTCCATGACAGGCCGGTTACCCAGAGAGCTTCCTGGCCTAGTGGGAACGAGAGGCCAGCTACCGGCCCACTGCAGTAGAATGGGGCAACTTTTGGTTAACAGAGAAATGAGGAGAGTGAAATCAAGTGCTCTCCATGTGTAAACACGCTTCCTTTTAAAAGCAGGAGTATTGAGCTTCGCTTAGCCTGAGGGACAAATTCCACTTCCCACAGAGGAGGGATCTCTGTGGGGGAGGGTCACATTCCAGGGGTGGGACAAAGAAATGAGCCCCCAAATGTCCACATCTTGCCGCCAATAATTAGGACTCCAGAGAGGTATTTCAGCAGTTTAGAAAGTGGTACCTCCCCTCCAGTGAGTAAAAGCTGGGAAACCACCAGTCAATTAAGGGAAAGGGGCTTGGGCAACAGAAGGGGTGTTGCCCTCTGGGAAACCTTGAAGGGCTAGCTTTGGTCTGCAGAGGGGGGCGGCTGTATCCCTGCTTTAAATGCAGATTGGCTGTGGGCCCCCCTCATCTCAGCAGCAGAACGTGCCTTCCTCCCGCTTCCATCCTCAGTAGCCCAGCATTTTGCCTTTCCTAGTTGGGGGAGAGTGCCACATGGGACTAGCCAAAGTGCCCCCCCCCCCGCTCACATGTTCTTGCGGAGCAAGGAGCCGTGTGCACAGAGGTTGCTGGTATGTTACTTCACGATGCTCTGAAATATCCATGGCGTCTTTGTTGTTTTTGACATCCTCGTGTGGAAAGTGGCTCTCTCAGAAACTTTGGGGAGTGTTGTCCCTACAGCTTCCTATCCCAGCTTGCAAGGCAGAATGCAGCTGTGCTTGGGGGCATTTTGCAGATTAGCCCATTGATTGTAGATGGTTGATGGTCGTTTTCATGGGGACAGCCAGTTCCTCAGAAGGAGAAGTCAGCACAGAGGTGGTGGAGGGTACGGCAGCAGGAGGTAGGGCTGCGTGGTCAGGGAGAGCTGAAATGCAGGAAGTGCGGACTGTGAGCCTGGCCTTAATAGCCGTGGCCATGCGCAAAACAGCTGCTGGGCCATCTTTGTATTGGCAAATCAAGTCATGCACGCACTCGAAAACCTGTGCTCTCTTCCAGCCACAGGAGAGAGAGCGGAGCCTCTCCATGAATTGCTTTGTGTGGAAATCTCTTCTAAATTCTGCTGATTTTGCTGTTTTCAGTTCATACTCGCATTCACATCAGCCGTGTGTGTATGGATATCATATGCCTCTTTTTCCTGCAAGGAACTCAGAGCAACCTATCTTGGTCCTCTTCCACCTCTTATTCATTTACTAGATTTATATCCCACCGTTTTTCTTCCAAAGAACTCAAAATGACTTACATCCTCCTCCTCCTCCTCCTCCTCAGCTTATCCCCACAACAACCCTGTGAGGTCGGTTGTGCTGAGAGTGTGTGACTGGTCCAAACTCACCCAGTCAGCCCCGTGGCTGAGTGGGGATTTGAACCCAGATCGTCCGAATCCCAGACCGGCTCTTAACCCACTGGCTCGGTTCACTTAATCGCCACCACAGCCCAGTGGAATGGTTTGGATGAGAGTTACAGACATGCCCAGAGTCACCAGTGAGCTTCCCAGCCAAGCGGGAACTAGAACTCGGATCTCCCAAGTCCCAGTCCAGCACACCTAACCACTGTGCCTCACAGGCTTCCCTGTACATGCTGGCAATGCCAGGTAATGCTTCCTGCATCTGACAAAATGGTTTGCAGACCATGCATAGTCATGCTGTAAGTTAATCTTCAAGCTACTACAGGATTCTCTGTTTTACTGCCACCTGTCCCTTCCCTTCTTTCCCTCAGGTTCCAAAACTCAAGGCCATCTTTTGCCATGCGGATCGTCATTACAACCTCACAGCTAACAAGACAACACAGTCCTAAATAGCCTGCTGTCAAGCTTGAAGGATAAGCCTCTGCCCATGGCAAGAGCTGAGAAGTGTCCCAGTCCCTCCCTTTCAGTAACCACCCTCAGGGTGCTTCTCACCAGTGAGGAAAGCTGCTTTAGTGGCTTTTTATGGTCCTTGAGGTCTTTTTTATTGTCTTCCTTGACTTTCCGTTGAGTTCTTCCTTGCCGTCCTCTTATTTTTATTTGCCACTATGTACCACAGCCAGTTGTTGGTGGGCATGTGAGCGGAGCTGGCTGGAGCCGGGGGTCAGACTAGATGGCCCAGGAGACCCCTTCTGACTCGCTCTGTTTCTGTGTTTATCACGAGAGCTTCCTTGAGGCCCTTGCGGCAGAAGGTGGAGTGTCCGTTGTAAAGAGGTGTTGTGCTCTCTCCTCTCTGCACGCAGGTGTCGTGGACATGGGCGGCAGGCAGACCACAGTGAGTGGCCTCCCCGTCGGCCAGTCCCCTGTGACGGAAACCATTCAGGGAGCCTACCGGAGTGGAGAATTCGGGAAAGCCCAAGAGCTGGTGAAGACAGCCTGTCAGGAGAGCATCTTGCAAGTGGAAAAGGTGAGGGAGGGCAGAGCGGTGGCTGCACTCGGCCGCGGCGGAAGACCCATGGCTGGTCTTGAAGAACCAGCATGTGGCACAGGTGTGCACAACCCCTTCCTGGCTGGGTGGAGTGTTTCGGAGGGTCTGCTTTGGGCACTGATGATGATGATGCCAGTAATTTCCCCTCCACTGGCAGGCATTTCGAAACTCCTTCTTGCCATCATGCTCTGGTCGGAACAGGGCAGCCAGTTCCTGAAATTCCTGCTCAGAGCAGCCCAAACCACATACTGGGGCATGCGCCTTGCCTCGAAGGCGCATTGCCTTGAGTGACCCTTCAGGGGGTGCCTTGTGAAAAGGATCATTCTGTGTATCTCCATTCACAGGACCTCTGTGCTGCATTTTCCTCCCCTTTCCCTCATCAGGCGCACCTCTTGAGCCTCTCAGCGGCATATGGGGACCTGCAGACAGTGAGGTACTTGCTGAAAGAGGCCTGCTTGACTGTGCCCCCTGAACCCGAGGATGACAACCCTGCAGTGGTGGCAGCATATTTTGGGCATAGAGATGTGGCAGAAGAACTGCTGGATTCTTTTATTGGTAGGTTGAGTCCCCTGCTCTGCCTTTGGTTCGGAGCTCTCCCTTTGGTTCCGTTGCCTCTTGTGTTGCTTCTTTCTCATTCCTGCGAGCTGTCTGAACTGTCGTTCTGGAAAACTGGGCCCACTGCATATTATTGTATATGTCTGGAGAGGGGTGTGTGAGCATGTTCAGTTGTTTTGTTTTGACTGCTTAAACATTTTAACATATCCATAAAAAGCGGGGCATTTATAATAGCAATTTATCATAGGGAAGCTCCTTCGTGTACCAGCATTTCCCAGGGCAAAATCGTGACAGTTGACCATGCTCGATGTCCTAAAGCTAGTGTCTTGAGTCATTTAAAATTAGAGCTTTTTCAGATTCCATGTTAGATGGCCCCATTGAAGCGTTGTTCCTGGCAGTCCTGAAGCATTATAGGAGAAGGCAAATGTTCTTCACAGAGACCGTGACTGGCAGAGCTGCTGTCCCAGGGTGTTTCCTCGCTTGCTTGTCTGCGTGCCGAAAGGGTGAGACCTCACATGTTGTGCTCACGTATCTGAACGCTTGCTTTGGTAGGTCCAAATAATTTCTTGCAACTCCTGAGCTGGATGCTTGCGATTGCCTGTCAGCAAGGCCACCTAGAAATCGTCAAGCTCCTAATCCTGACATACAAAGCAGATCCTGACAGCTACGCAGTGAGAAAGAACGAGTTGCCCGTTCTTACCCGATTGCCTCTATATGCAGCTATCAAAGGAGGTAGGTGCCTGTGCACTCTGTGTGCCATTGACTAACCCAAATGGGAAGTATCAGGAAAACCTTGGGGAACTTCCCTGTTGTCCTAACCACAGTTGCCACAAATTTTCTTTTTTTATACAGGGAAATTCACAGTCTAGGGTTTTTTTAAACCCAGCCTGTAGTCTCACCCAGTTTGAGGAAATACACCTATTATGGTAGTTTCTTTTTTATTCATAACTCTCTCTGTTTTTAATCAGCTGTTTCCATCAAGTTAGGACTAGAACTGCTCTTTGAAGAATCCATGTTTTGTTTTGTTAGATAAGAAACCAGGAATTACACCCCAAGCTTGTTTTATCTTTGCATGCCTTTGTTGCAATTTTTCCTTCTTCACCAGGGTATGAAGATGTAGCTGCCTTCTTGCTCGAAAATGGGTCCTTCTTTTGCTCCTACATCCTGATGGACTTCCCGAGCACCAGCAAATACCTGCTTCGCAAGTATTTTGTAGAAGCAATGACATTACCCAGGAGCGTCCCACCAAAAACAGTGAGTAGCTGCTTGTGGATTGGAAAAGAAGATGTTTAGGAGAGGGGAGAGCAATTTGAGGCCCTCCAGATGTTTTGCCCCAGAAGGGCCCTGAATGCTCACCATCAGCTATGCTGGCGCAGGCTGGCAGGAATCGCAGGCCAAAACTTTTGCCCACCCCGTTTCAGAAAAGCTCCAGTTTGTGAGGGTCCCTGGGCCAGACAAGCACAGCAGGCCCCCTGCCTCGGCCAGTTTGTCTTTCCACAACTGTTGTCGTTTGCCGCTCCTGCTCCTCACCCTCTGTCTGATCTTGCGTCTGCTTCCTGCTTGACAGGCCCGGCGCCAGGGAGCCAGCAGGCAGCAGTATCTGCTGTTCCTCTTTCCCTCCGCCCCCGCAGTCTGGACCAGAGCAAGAGGAAAGGGAACAGACAGGCTGCAGTGAGGAAGAGGAGGAGCAGACCCAGGGGGCTTTCATCCCTGAGCCCCTGCTGGGTTCCAGACAGACCCCAGCTATTCCTGCCCTTGGCTCTGCCTCTGACTGGGTGGCCTTTCCCCCTCAACAGCCCGGGAGTCAGGGCTGTCCCACGGCCAAGCAAGCGTGCTGGACTCGGGGTGCAAATGATCCTTGCTCAGCCATGTGTTACGCCGGTATCGTGGGCCAGGGTCCCAAGCCCTCATCCTCAGGGGACCCGGAGGCCTTGTCCTCAGAAGAAGAGTCACCAAAGCTAATGATTCAGGGACAGAAAGCATCCTGAGACCTCCAGCTCCCCAGAAAGATCCCACAGGAGATCGTTTGGCCCTCTCCCGCCTCAGAGAAGCTCTGGCTGTCAGGGCACTGGTATGCCAGAGGCACTCCTCATTACTGCAGAAGAGGCGGAGACCAATATGGAAGCTGGACCAACTGCTCTAAAGTCAGCCAAAGTCTTATTCAAGTTTCATTGCTTCTTGGAACAACGTTTAGGCAATGTTGTCCAGCTGCCAGTCCCAGCACCCAATGGAGCTTTCCAGGGTGCTGGTCTCTCCCCACCTGACTTCCCAGTGAAATCCAGTCTCACCAAACTCCTGCCCAAGGCTGGCCTGCAGCCCACACCACTCCATGCCACAAGCCCTCAGCATGGATGAGGCAGTGCAGATCATGCGTACGACCGGCCCATGGCTTCGAAGGTGCAGCAAGGTGATCTTAGGCCGTTGCCCCCAACTCTCTCTCCGGGTTGTTGTCATGAGGATCAGTAGGGCACTCCCTGTCAATGTACTATCCTGAGCTCCTGGGAAGAAGCTGGATTATAAATGTGGTTAGTAATACATACGATTGGGATCTGATTTGAGATTTTGACAGATACGTAGATTTTTACAACAGCAACTTGGCAGCTTATAGCAAACAGCACACAGTTTTCTGCCAGAAGATGCATGGGAGTAAAATTCGCATTTTCTAGATAGATGTGTCTGTAAAAACTTCAGAAACCTTTTTCAGGTCATCTTGTGTAGCAAGCTTTAGAAGCAGCTGTCCAGGATGAGATCTGCCGAGATCAGCTCTCTGGACAGCCCCCCCACCCGACCCCCGCAGGTCTGGAGCCTGTGTCTTCCAGGCCAGGATCCTGGCAAGCAGCAGACACTGCTCCATCAGCCAGGGTGGAGGGTTGGGCTCCTTGAGTTCTGGCCAATCTGAAGGGCCCCTCCGGCTGACCAATCACAGGTCAGATGGTAGAGACTCCCTTGAATGCTCACCACTTCCGGATCCATTTGCATTGTTCAGCCATTACAAAAAGAGCTTCCAAAAACAGATCTGGCCATCAGTTGCTTGCAGAGCTTCAGTCAGTTTAGATGTATCTTGACCTTTCTGCTTGTGCCTTGGCAAGAGCCAGTGAAAGCTGGACAGCTTTTTTTCAGTGAGTCCTTTTTGCAAAGCATGTAGAATCTCTTTGGAAGAAGCAGAGGTGTGTTTGGATCAAATCAGAGTGGTTCTACTTGTACAAAGCATGCATGTAGCGAAGATAATAGGTATCAACTGAAAGCTATTCACATAAAATGAACTCGGACCCAAATCGTGCACAATAAAGCTACAAGTCTGGACCTTTAGCTGAAATAAGTAAAAACCTGTAAAAAATTATATAAAATCGCTCAGCATTCTCCTTTTTTTCCCCAAGCACCCATTTCTGAAGATAGAAAATGGGCAGTGTTGTTACATGCGTATCTATCTTCAGGGTTTTTTTTAAATATATCCACATGTTTTTAGAACTGTGCAATGTTCTTGGCTTTTATCTTAGTTACTACTGGTTCTAAATTGATGGTTTTCCTTATGCTTTACTGTGTTTATTTGTTTGTTTCATTGTATCTCTAAATTGCCCAATAGCCAAAGCTCTGTGAGCAGTTAAAAATTTATGCAATTTAACAAAAAGCAAATGCAATTGCACAGCATGAAGTTTCAATACAAAGTATAAAATGCTATTTAAAATAATTTGAGGAACTGAGACTCATGCAGGCACTCCCAAACTGCAGCTTCAACCTTGCGGTGAGGCGCAGGTAGAGTTCCCTTGACAAAACGGAATAATATAATATTATGTTATTACTGGTTACAGTTTTCAGCTTTATCTGATTAACTGCTTAGAGAACTTTGGCTAATGGGGTATATGGAAATGAAAAAGCCATAAGCAAACATCCTGTCCACAAGGGCTCCAGAGCAGATGCACAATGCATGCATCAGGGAGGAGATGAGCAAGTCTTGTTGCGTAGATGTACTAACAAGTGCTCATTTGCCCTTGCTCAAATACTGCTTTCTGCTAGTGCAACATCATCGGCACTAACAGGATGTCACACTTGCTTCTAGCTTTGGCTGGAAACCTTAAGAGCCAGATGGTATGTAACAGTCTGGGTTCATGCAAGATCTTTTCCTTTTCAGTAAGAACTGTTGATGATTCCCATACAATCTTCTTTGTTTTATCTTCAGGTTCTTTCTGTGAACTGGGCAAACCTGAGGCTTCCTTGGCTGGAGCTGGATTGGCTGATAGATATTTCACACCAGATAACCGAGCTGAACCTGTCTGCCAATTGTTTGACCACCCTTCCATCCGTTATCCCTTGGGGGCTGATAAACCTCCAGAAATTAAACCTCAGCGAGAACCGGTTGAGCATACTGCCTGATGTACATTCTTCAGCTGCAGTTATATGCACAAAGTATGTTCCAGAACAGGCTGATTTTCAGTAGGGGCCCTATTTTGAGCCAAGGGGGGTTGAAAGATACCAAGGTGACTCTGCCCATGGATTCAGCCCCATGCAAGCCGAGTTAAAGGCTAGCTCGAACATTCACACCTTGGCTTAATAACCCAAGGCGTGGACACAGTTTGTCAGTGTATGCAGCCCCTTTGTTTGTCCCTCTGGAGCAGGAAAAACAAACTAGGAATTCTTCCATTAACTATACTGTCCAGTTTTATCCAAACCAGGAAACTATGGTCAATGGTTTTGGAACATACTAGGATATAAAGCCAACTTCAAACCATGGATTCCTATCCAAGCTTATTTATTTATTTATTTATTTAAACCATTTTTACACCGCCCGCATCGCAATGAAGCCTCGGGGCGGCTCACAACAGAAACAAAATACATAAATACATAAATAATAACAATATAACAATGAAAAATTATTTAAAAACCCCCGGTGCATCTCGGCTAAGAATTTAAAATCCTATAAATACAAATAATTTAACAATTAAAATAAGTTTTAAATAAAAAGGTCTTAGCCTGGCTCCGAAAAACAAATTCCAAAGCCATTAACCATGATTTCCTAGTTTGAATGACAACAGAAAAAGTAGCTAGTAAGAGACTCCCCAGTGAGTTCAGTCACTTCCATGAAGAGGGAAACAAATGGGCGGCATGTGGGAACCGGACAAAAAACTTCTTCATCTCTTCCTTTAGTAAGCTGATCAAAACTGTCTGAATGCAACCATTAGCGAAAGACCTGTGCCTGCCCAGCCTGAAGAGCAGTGGCGTGGGGGCGGGGGGTGGTCTGGCAATGCCCTTTTTACACATCTGAGATTTCCATGGGAAGTAGTTGAGTTGAAGGCTTTACTTCTCTAAAGACTTCAAAGAAGAAACAGAGTATTTAATGGTTGGCTTAGGTCAAAGGTCCCAGAGGGGATGATTTAAAGAAGCAGACTGTTTGCATATTCTATTTGTCATCTTATTATAGTTTTCTTGGCTTTTTTAATCCACAGATTACTTGAGATTGACATATCCAACAACAGATTCTTCAGCCTTCCTTCTGGATTTTTGCACCTCTGCAGACTTCAAAGACTTGTTGCTGCCAAAAATTATCTGGAAAAGCTATTTGATGAGGAGAACGGTGGGTGCACCTTGGCTGGGAATTCCAGTTAGTTCAGACTATCCACTGGTAGGAGGTAGTAAGCCTTGAAGCTGTTTTCTTCAGGGTTTGTGACAAACTTTGAAGCAGGAAGATACCTTATAAAGGATAGTGGGTGTGCATTATTTTGGCAAATTCTCCCTGTTTCCCAGAACATCCAGTGGTGTTTGCCCTGTGTCCTGCTGGATGTCGACATGCTGTATATTTTTTCTATCTTCCGTTGGTACGTGGGAACATCAGGAGCTGCCTTGTGATGGCTCTGGGCCTATCTAACTCAGTATCTTTATTTATTTATTAAATTTATATCCCACCCTTTCCCATTTCAAGGAAAGCATAGTAATACTGACACAGCAATGGCTCCCAAAGGTTTCAGGCAGCTGTTTTTCCAGCACCACCGGAACATGCTGGTGCTGGGGAGTTTGATCTGCAAAGCACATTTTCTCCCAGTGAGCTACTGCTCCTTGCCGAACAAAAGGCAAACATACACCTCATGGTAGGACAATTCCACAATGTTCATTCATTGATGCATTTCCATCCTGCCATTTTTCTTCTTGCATGGAATCCATGGCAGATTACATTGCACTCTTCCTGTCCATTTTATCTTCACCATAACCCTGTGAGGAAGGTTAGTCTGAGAGTCGGGGACCAGCCTCAAGTCCGTGAGCTTTGCAGCCAAGTGGCGACTTGGATCCAGATATCCTAAGCCCCAGTCCAGCAGTCACTGCTGTGCTGCTATAACTCCACTTTAAGAATTGTGTTGTTGCACAGATAATTTCATTTTTTGTATTGTTGATGTTTGCTAATTGATTTTGGAATAAATTCTTATAAATGTGGTCATGTTATATATAATTTCAAAGAGCATTTTTTCGCTGTATGTTTTGTTCTTAATGATTTATTATTTACTATTTCTTAAAGCTCTAATTTAAGCTATTGAATTAAGGATGGATAAGAAGCAAATTTGAGCAATTTTCTTGTATGAGTTCAAACAGGGCTGTAAAGCAACAGAAATGGCTCCGCAATATCAGTGATGCTTTCATCCCAGGTACTGTTTATGAACATATGGTGCAATTGTGGTTCCAGAGGTTCCATAATGGAGACAAGAGCCTTGAAGATGAAGAGGGTCATGGGTGGCCATCAAAAGTTGACAACGACCAATTGAGGACAATAATCAAAGCCAATCCACACAAAACTGTACGAGACTTTGCAGAAGAACTCATTGTCAGGCACTCTGCAATTGTTCACCATTTGGAGCAAATTGGAAAGGTCAAAAAGTTCGATAAATAGGTGCCGCATGAGCTAACTGAAAATCAAAAAAATCATCATTTTGAAGTGTCCTCTTCTTTTATGTAATCTGTTCCTTGATCGGCTTGTAATGTGTGATGAAATGTGGATCATATATGATAGCAGGTGCTGTTCAGCTCAGAGGCTGGATCAAGACGAAGCTCCTAAACACTTCCCAAAGTGAAAACCGCACCTAAGGAAGATTATAGTGGCTTTTTGGTGGTTTGCAGCTGGCATCATCCACTTCAACTTTCTGAATCCTGGTGAAACCATTACGTCAAAGAAGCATTGTCAAGAAATCAATGGAATGCACAGGAAATGGCAGTGTATGTGTCCAGCATTGGTCAACAGAAAAGGCCCAATTCTCTTGCACAACAATGCCTGACCACACATTACACAACCTGCAAAAGCTGAACGAATTGGGATATGAAATTCTGCCTCATCCACCATAATCACCGGGCCTCTTGCCCATCGACCACCACTTCTTCAAGCATCTTGACAACTTTTTGTGGGGAAAATGCTTCAGTAACCAAGGTGCTGCTGCAAGTGCCTTCCAAGAGCTTGTCCCCTCCAGAACTCCAGAATCTTCTGTGACTGGAATAAAGAAACTTGTAACCGGTTGGCAAAAATGTGTGGATTGTTATGGTTCTTATTTTGATTAATAAAGTCAAGTTTGAGGTAAATTAGAGCAATTCAAGGTTAACTTTCAAAAAACAAAATGAAACAGTCAAAAAACAAAGTTATTTTTGCACCAACCTAATAATTCGATGGTCCATCCTGTTCAGCATCAGAGAAGACCACAAGTGCTGTAACACTTGTCTCTCCCTAGCAGTTGTTCTTCAGAGGAGATGCTGAACATCGCATTGCGATACAATTGTGGGTCAAGGGAGCTGCGGACAGGCACAAGCCTTTCTGAATTTGTCTATAATCCTCTTCATAATGCACAAGTAACTCAGCTTGACTTGGAGCAAAGAGGCAGCGTTTCACACTTATGAGATAACCAACAGCTCCGGCTATTTTTACCCTGCTGTTCTTTTTGGGTTTGGGGTTCCTCCTTTTACATTGGTGCTTGATGGTTTGCATTGCTGTGATGAAAGTTACTGGCAACAAATGAAAAGCCACTTTGTGCAGTCAGTTTGCATTTCCAGCAGGCTTCCATCGTATAAAACGGCCTGCATTTGGTCTGGATGAGGAGAGCAAAACAAGAGCTAAGAATTGCTGAAGTGTGTGCAGAGCAGGGTGTGAGAAGATCTTTGGCTAACTTGTGAACTGAGAGAAAAAATAATATTCCGGTATGTTTGGAATGAATAGTTGGAAAATTCGAATTGAGCAATAAAGGAGAGAGATGGCTAGCCGCCTTTCCAGCTAAGTGTCACTGCCCCCAGCTGGAGCCTTTTTGCTCAGCTCTGGGAAAGTGATGTCAACATACCTCCTAGCCTGCACTCAAGGATGATGCTAGCTGTTCCTCTTCCTCTTCATCCCTCAGCAAGCAGTGCCACGGCGCAGTCATGCCGTAGCTCTTGACAGCGGGATGTTCCTGAGTGATGGAGCAGGAAGACACGGAGCCAGCGCCAGCGCTCAGCAGCCTTGTACAGTGGAAGGGGAGCGATGGCTGGACATTTATGTCCCCCGTGTCCCTCGATGCCTTGCAGGCACCCAACTTGTTCGTGCTCAGCTTCCTGACAACTTGACGCTTGATTATGTCTTCCTCTGCTTATATGCCAAAGCAACTCCCAGTATACATGCTATCCCACCCACTCGTTCTTCCTGGCTGAAATCAGCCTGTTGCCCCATCAACCTGGGCTGTCCCAAGCAGGGTGGACAGAAGGGAGACCTCCAGGTGCTCGGCACTTCAGTTCCCGGCTGCTTCTGCCAGCATGGCCAAAGCTTAGGCATGCTGGGAGCTGAAGTCCAAACCCACTGGAGAGCTGCTTCCCATCCCTCCCTCACGGAAGGGAACACTGTTCTCAGTATGAATTTGCTTGGGCGCTAAGGCCTGCGTGGGATGCCGTCTTGGGGTCACTCCCTCAGGAACCACATCTGCTCCTTGTTCTCCTGCCTTCAGAGAGAGCCTGTCGAGGCACCTTTCAGTCAAGCCTTTTCAAGTTGCTTTCTGTTTGATGGGTTTTGATGTTCTTTAAGGTTTTGATGTTTTGATGATGCATTAAGGTTTAATTGTTTAAAATCAGGGGTGACCTTGATGATGTGCATGTCATTTTAGTAAAGAAGGGGGATATGAATGTTAAATAAAATTAATTGTAGCAGCCACCCAACAAGAGATGTGACTCAGAGCTTCAGACAGGCCTACTTTAGCATCTTCCCACAAAGAGGTATTGAAATTCCTTTGTTGCTGTTGTTCTAGTCACTAACTGGATTGGATTAAGGAAACTTCAAGAGCTGGATGTCTCGGACAACAAATTGTTGGAACTCCCCATTAATTTTCTCCACTGTTTGAAGTCACTGAACATTCTAAATGCTTCCAGAAATAACCTGAAGGTGTTTCCACAGCCATGGGCCTGCCCTCTGGTACGTCTGAACTGCTGCCATGATGAAAACTTTATCCAATTGAACCCTATAAAGTTGAAACCTGCTAAGACGCTGCTTCAATTCCCTGCTTGGTGGAGAGATTCTGGGGCTTTTGCTAGGGCCACCATGGGACTTAGCCCACTGGACTGCCTGAAAAAGGCACACTGAGGCCCTCTCACATGGAAACGGGGGTCATCCCAGGGAGCCAGCTGGTGGGAGATTCAGGACACCTAACATAATGGACTTCCACATACGCTAATTAAATGATGGCATTTGCTACTGCATCCCATCTGGGTGGCTTTACAGGAAGACAGGACATACTCATGGATGAGGAGGCAATTGATGGCCAAAGGCTGCCTCTCGTATCCGAGGCGGCATGCTTATCTATGCCAGTTGCTGGGGAGCGTGGGTGGGAGTGTGATACTGCATTTGTGTTCTGCTTGTGGGCAGTTGGCTGGCCGAGGTGATTAGCCGGACCCTTGGTCTCGTCCAGGCTCATCTTCTGTTCTACGCCCATCCTGGCATTCACAAGCACTAGAAGCTTTCTTAAAAGCACCCATGGCCACCAAGAACCAAGAGCTCTTAAATCTGAAATTCCCAGAGTGGAGAATTCTGTCTGAATAGCAATATTGTTTTTCCTCTTGTTTCCAGAAAAGTTGCAAGGCAGCAAGTAATGCATTGGAGTCCCTACCTGATACTTTGGCAGTTTTTTGGAAAAATCATCTCAAGGAAGTCGATTTTTCTCAAAACTCCTTGAAAGAAGTCCCCCAGTGTCTCTTCCAGCTTGGGGTAAGTAGGGAGAACTCCTGCCAACACCCCTGCAGTTATTTTCTGGGTTTCAGTGAGTCAATTCTCTCCCAGAACAAGATAGTTCTTTCTTGTATCTCTCAATGGCCTCCAAGAAGCCTAAAGCATCCTTGATCCCTGTTCCCCCATTTTTTCCTCCCACCAACCCTGTGAGGGAGCAGGGCTGATAGTCAGCAGCTGATCCAGATTGCTCTGCCTGGCCAGGTAAGGACTCGAGTCTCCCCAGGCAGATCCTCTGACCACACAGATGCGAGGACATTTGCCACCCCAGAACGGTAGAGGAGTCCCAGTACAGCTCAGCACTCTCCAAAGGCGAACACTGCATGATGGGAGATGCTCCTGGCCAGTCACATTTTGGACTTGCTGCATCTAGTGCACCAAACAATGGTACCCATGTGCTGGTTGGAGACAGCCAGGGTGGGGTGAGGAATCCATCACATTCCCTGGGCTTGTCTCCCTGGACGCAGGTCCACTCCCCAGCAGCCATGAGTCCCAGCTCCTTGCGAGCACTCCCTTGACCTCGTCACACGCAGCTGCCTTTGTTTGTGCTGCTGCAGAGGCTGTGGACAAAGAGTGCCCATAGTGCAACTGGAACTCCACGAGCACTCGCAGACTTCCGCTCAGCTTGGCTCTTTTTCCAAGTGAGGGCCAAGCATGAGATGAAGTCCATGCATGCTACAGAGATGGAATGCTGGGAGCTTTGGCACATCCCTGGTGGGGGATAGTCCTTAGAGCAGTGACGGCGAACCTTTTGGAGACCGAGTGCCCAAACTGCAACCCAAAACCCACTGATTTATCGCAAAGTGTCAACACTACAATAAAACCTGAATACTGAGGTTTTAGTTTAGAAAAAAACCCACAGCCAGTCCAAGCAAATCTCTCTCTCTCTCTCTCTCCCCCCCTCTCCCTCTCCCTCTCGCAGTGCACTGACCGGCCATGTGAAAGTTTGGGCAAGTTGTGACTCATGAGTCACGGCTCATGATTGTCATTGCCTGACACCGCTACTCCTTTCCGAGCATGCGCATGGCCCCTGTGTGCACTGTTATCTGATGCACGGCTGCTGGGGTGATGCTGGGGAGACTTGGCTCTCATGCCAACAGAGAGGGCTCTGCATGCCCACCGCGGCACATGTGCCATAGGTTCACCACCACTGCCTTAGACCATCCTTCTCTGATCTGATGCCATCCAGATGTGTTGTTCTTAAGCTCTCATCTCTTAGCATGTTGGCCATGCTGTCTGTGAAGGATGGGAGCTGATGAAGGCTGGACTAGAGTTAGACTAGAACTGGGAAGACCGATGATCAAATATTGCTTTGACATAAAGCTCCCTGGGTGATTTGGGTACATATTCTCTCTCACACACACATACCTCACAGGGTTGTTGTGAAGATAATATATGCAGAGGAGAATCCTGTACAGAAAGCTGACTCTTTCTAGAGGAAGGAGAGAGATAAATGGAGGAAATGAATATATAAATACTTGCTGAGTCTCCTTCTTTATCTGGATCTTCTTCAGATACCATTCTTCTGGGTTGCCTAACAATCATTAAGTGCAGGAAATAAACATATTTCAGAAGGAATAATCCAGTCCAGAATAAAAAATAGAGATGCTCTCTGTGATACTAGGGAGTTTATGGGAATTTCATCGCCATTGGCCACCGTCTTGTCTTGTTCACATCTCCAAGTGAAGACAGGCAAACACATTCTCTGAAAACATTTGTAAAGTCACAGATTTTTGTGTGCATTTATGCAGTGTGCAACTTGAAAAATGTACTGCTTTCCCAACATGCAGAACTTTTTAAAAATGCATGCTATTCAAAGAATTCAAGAAGCAGGGCACAAAAGAGAACAGGAACAAGCCAAAATGAGCTCTGAAGTTGGGCACATTTCAGAAAGTTTTGTCCTAGAAGATGCTGCAATATATATGTTGGTGCTGTTTGTTTGTTTAAAGCTTTTATATCCCACCCTTCACAGTGTCTCGGGGCAGTATATGATGTCTGCCTACCCATGCTCTTTGCCGTAATGGCACGAGTGAGTGTGCACACATGTGTTTCGAGTTCCCATGCGATATCCTTGTGATTGAGGGGCCTCGTGAGAGGAACAAATCTCATGAGAGGAAGCCCTGGATTCCTGAGTCTGAGAAAGTACAGTGGTCAAGCTAGTGCTGGGTGAATCGTCTAGACTTGAGCATCTTGTGGTTTGCTGAGTTGTAGCTCGAAGCTGGCCTTGCCTTGTCCTTGATTGCAAGCTTCTCCTCCCACTTCCATTTGTAGGGGCAAAATACACGTTTGGGGCCACACCTTTTAAAAATACATCTGCAAATGTTTACTTCTTCCCTTGAGAAAGGCATGGAAGTATGACCTTTCTGAAAATGTGTTGAAGTACACCTGCTTCTGACATTTTGCAAGCGAGCATTGCAGTCTTGGGAAGATCCCTGCAAAATGCACATGTTTGCACATGAGAGGGTGAATGCGGCCTGCTCTGGTCTTAAGACCAAACAGAAGCAAAAATCTGGTACATTCCTCTCTCAGGCGTGTATGTCTGAAGCCCTTCTCTAGTTTCCAGTGGTATGTCAGTTTCGTGATGCAGTTTTGCTTCATGGAAGGAATTTAGAAATATTCAGGAAGGTGCATTTTGGTCCAGCGGATTCAGCACTAGATGGTGCTGCTGTGACACCTCTGTTAGCTTTTCTCTGTGCCAGCCTCCTGCTCCTGCCAGAATGGTGCAATGAAATCCACAGTGATTTAGAAGCTGGGCTCACTTTCAGCCTTGCAGCATCTTCCACGGGGCTCTCTGGGTGCAGCTCCAGCATCCTTGATCTCAGAAGCTGCCTTGTACCGAGTCAGATTGTTCACCTGTATTATGTTGATCATTGCTCAGTGTTGCCTACATTTGCCTTCTCCAGCGTGGTGCCTGGGGGGACTTAATCTCCCATCAGCTTCAGCCATTATGGTCAAGGATAAGGAATTCTGGGAATTTCCATCCCCAGCACCAGGAGGGCACTGGGGGAAGGCTGTTCTATGTTGGCTAGTAGCAGCTTGCTTGGACTCTTCTCAGTTCTTCCTGGAGATGCCAGCATTTGAACCCACAACCTTCTGCAGGTGCTTTACCATGCAAAGTGAAGATTCACCTTCACTGACCAGTCAAAAAAACCCTGACCATTGACCATTCTGGCTGGTAGTCCTGGGAGTTCTAGTGCAAAACTTCCAGACAGCATAGAAACATAGAATAGTAGAGTTGGAAGGGGTCAAGAAGGCCATCGGGTCTAACCGCCCCCCCCCCACTTTTGCAGGACACCAAGTCACTCCATCCCACTCAGATGGCTGTCCAGTTTCTTTTTGAATGTCTCCAGTGTGGGAGAGCCCACCTCCTCTCCAGGCAGCTGGTTCCCCTGTCACAATGCTCTGACAGTGAGGAAGCTCTTCCTGATGTCCAGCCTGAATCTGGGTTGTCACAGCTTGAATTGATTAGAACATTGCCGCTCCCTGGTCTACCGATATGATGGAGCTGGTAGTTTACAGTAGACAGCAAAATCAGTGATGCAAAGCAAATGTGAGAGCAACACAGATGCAGGAGAAAAGCCAAGACCTCTATGACCCTTGCACCTCAGAGACCCCTCCATCCCACCCTGAGTAAATCATCCAGATGTTGGCAAGTGACACGTGGAATCTGAGAAGCCAAGGGAAGTCTCCCCAGAGATTCATGTTTCAGGCATGAGTAAAATGGTGCCCCAGGGTCTGAATGCCACGCGTTGGCCACATGGTAGCATGTCGATTGATGCTGTTACATAAATCCAGGGCTGGGCAGCCTGCACCCCAGGGCAGCTTGTGGCTTTTGTCCTAACTTCAAGGGCTTCTGTGAATGATGATTTGCGAGCTCTGGCAAGACTGAATCTGCTCCTCCTCCGGCTGTCTGCTGGGCAGAGAAAAAGAGGGAGAATGAGGAAAGGGGGACCCTTCACCTCTCCAGTTCTGCTGCGCACTGTCAGTGCATCTCCCACAACAGGTTACCCCTGTTTAACGAGAACATTTAATTTACCAAATCAAACACTGTCTCTTCCTCTTACAGGCCTTGGTGTCTTTGAAACTCTCAGGAAACCAACTAACCACGTTACCTTCTCAAGATAAATGGAGCTGCCAACAGCTGAAATCTTTGGATCTCTCCAAGAACCAGTTTGGAAAGTGAGTTCTTTCTGTCTGTCTGAGAGTCTGTTACAGAGAAGGGCTTTCCATTTCACTGGTCTTTCTTTCCGTTTGCCCGCAGAACTGATGAAAGGGCCAAAACTAAACGGATTTCATTTTTCACTACAAGGAGCAGAACTCGCGCCGAGGCAGGTAAGCAGGCAGGGAGCGAGGAGGGGGATGAGAGTTTCTGAGCAGGAAGGGCAGATGCTGCAGCACTCGTATGATCTGTCAGTGGCAGAGGGAGACGGAAAGGAAGCCGTCGCTGCTGGTGGCAGTCGGCCACCATCTGTGTGCCTGGCTCGCTGGGGCCCCTCTTTTCTTCACATCGGGTGGCAGCGCTCACGGCCCCATCAGCACAAGGAGAAACCAGCCAAGGCTGGCTGTCATTGTCACCGCTTTAAAGAGCCCACATCAACTTCTAATGTTTTGCTACTGGTTAGATCACTGATAATGGAGTCTCCACTTGCAATATGTGATGAATCTGATTTCTCGGTGGAAATCTGGCAGATTCCTTGGATCAACTCCCCCGGCTCTGGCACACTTTCTTCCTGCCCTACGTCCCTCTCATGCCTAACGCTTGCATGGGTATTCAGCAGGAAGTGAGCTGGGCGTACTCGACCCGCGTGCCCGCTGCGCAAGCAATGTTCGGCAGGCTTTGCCTGCTTTGCGCAAAGAATTGCATGCTTTGCGCAAAGAAGCTGCTGGCATTTCCAAGTGTTTGCAGACCTGATCTTGGCTCAGCTCAGTTCCTGGCCAGGGCTGAGCATGGGAAAGCAGTCTGCGAAGCACAAGGGAGACAGATTCTGGCCCAATCTGCACATCCTTCCCCTACACTGAAAGGCAGCCACATCCTAGGTTTCCCATCACATGCAGCATGATCCTTTTTAATTCCAGGTGCCAAGGATTGAACCAGAGCCCTTTTGCTTGCAGAGAAGATGCTGTTCCCCAAGCTGTGCCCACAAAAGCACAACTTTGCCTTCTTGTTTCATATTTGCTTTCCTTCCACTTTCCCAGGTCAGACCTTGGAGTTTCCAGAGTATCTTTCTGAGTCTCTTGAAGTCCTCTACTTGAATGACAACCAACTAGACTCTGTCCCCCCATCGGTGTGCCTTCTCAAGGGGTTATCGGAGCTTTACTTAGGAAAGTAAGTGCACCTGTCCACGGCAGCCAGAAACGTCACCTCAAAAAGCCCCAGATGATCCATCTCTGCTTCACTGCAGAGGTGTGGCCTTGAGCTCTCCAGGTATTTTGGGCTTTGGCTTCACCCGCTCCAGCGAATCTGGGCAACAGGAATTCTAGGAGCTACCATCTAAAATGTCTGGAGGGCACCCAGTTCAGGAAGGAGGACACAGACTGGCTTAGAATGAGGGAGATGCGAGAACCCTTCTCGGGTGGAAAGTCTGCCAAGTTCTCTGGACACCAGCCTGCTTTGCGGAGCCCACTTTTCTGGAGCGCAGCGCCATCCTTCCACCCGCAGTGCTGCCACCGACAGTGAGGGGAGCAAGAAGTGGGTGGCCAGCACCCCTGCGCGCGGCTCCTCTTCTCCACACGTGGCACGGCTCCTGCCGGTGGCAGCGAGAAGAGAAGGCTGGCCGCTGGGGAAGACAGCTGGTCGGGCAGCCAGCGTCCACGAGCATCCGTGGGCTCCTCTTGGTCCAGCTTGCTTTGCAGAACTGGGCTGAGCACAAGGAAAGTCCAGTTCCAAAAAGGTTTGTTCCAACATGTTGGACTAGGACCGGGGAGACCCAGGCTAATGCCCCTACCCAGCTCCTTGGACCAGCTGCCACCTTTCAGCCCACCTGCCTCATGGGATCGTAGTGAGAAAAAAATTAACGTGGCAGTGCCCGATGCAGCATGTGCCACACTCTTGGGAGGGAGGCTAGGAGGATGTCAGTAACATTTTACTTCAGGTGAAAATCAGTAGCAGCCCTAATTTGGTCCAGCTGGGTCACTTCATTTGAATTTCTTTGTTGGCTGCAGTTTTGGGGAGGAGTTTTTAGGCAGTTAGCAAGACGCGATTCCCCGCTGGCCCACCTGCACTGACACATTCCCATGTTCCCCAGCCCCGCTCAGGCACACGCGGATCATGGGTTCTGCCCCCACCACCTTTTTTTCCTTCCATGGAAATGTTGGGAAGGTTATGTTCAAACTGGGGCCTTTCCATTTTGTTTCAACGTTTCACTTTAGCTGAAATGTGGTGCTAATGCTCTTGTAAATTTCTGTCAGAAAGGTTGTTGATTGGCGGGTAGATGTCTATTTTTTAATCATAACATTTATTTCATTTTGAGGAAGGCAATGAAAGGAAGAGCATATGTAGCAATAAATAGGTTTGATAACTGATAAATTTGTTGGAACATCTGCAGTAAAAGAGCTTATGGAAAAGCTCAGCATTGAATGAACAAGAAAAAAATACAATTTGTATCATACATTGGAGAAGCGAGTAAAGTGTATGTTAATTTGTGTGTTTGTGTTATTAGTAAAAAAAAAAAACTGTACTTGTATGGAATATGGTCAAAATTTTGAAGAACTTCCTTGCAGGAAACAAAGGGAAACCAAAGTACTGTAATACTGTTCTTAAAGTAAGAATTCCATGCTTGCTGCATTTGCTGGATAAATTTATACTTAGCCATAGTCTCCCAAGTTCTATCAACCCACTCCCTTTTAGCTGGTTGTGTGGAAGACCTCCAGTTACATGCTGTGTGTATATTTTTTTATTCATGCAGCAACTCGGGCATTCAAGAGCTTCCTCCTGAACTTGGACAACTGTCTAATCTTTGGCAGCTGGATATAGAGGAGTTAGATATTGGCAACCTTCCTGCAGAGATTAGAAAAGAGGGTGAGGCTGCGTCTTCCTGAGGGTTTATTAATGCCAGCTGTTTGAACAGGGAGTGAATCCAAATGAAGTCTGGTTTTATTTGTTATTGAATGGTGGGGAAAATGGGATGGGATCGGTCCAGGCTGTTCTCACAAAATGGAATTGTAAGCTAATATGCTCCGAGGGATCCCAGTTCCGTCCGATGGTTTGTTTTCATGCAATCTTTTCTTCGAAAGGTAACTCAGAAATGCAGCTTTGGTGCTGCACGTATCTTAGCACTCGTGTGTCACAGTGGGTGTGCTTGCGTGTGGCACTCACCTGCCCTGGCAACAAGCCAAGGTGGGCAGGCTGGTGTGCAAACTGCCAGTGGGGCCCTCGTAGCAGCTGCGCTTACGTTGGTTCCCACCCTGCTCCCCTTCCCCCGGGGGTCTTCCCACAAGCATTTGAAGAGACACCTGGGGGGGGGGAGTTATCCACCCCCCACTCTGATCATGTATCATTCTTGGCTCACTGCAGTGGGTTTTCCCTTTACGTTCCCCACCCCCAGGGAATTGCAAAAGCTGGCTTGAAAACCATCAAGGCACCTTCCTTTGAAGAGTTACCCCAAGCTCTGGAATTCAAGTTACGTTACATAATGTGTGTAACCCTGGCCCTCTCCCCATGCCTCTCTCTCTCCACTAGGCCCCAAGACCATTTTAGCTTATTTACGAGCCCAGCTACGCAAAGCAGAGAAATGCAGCCTGTTGAAAATGATCGTGGTGGGCCCCCCACGGCAGGGAAAATCGGCTCTGATCGAGAGCCTGCAGACCGGGAAGCCTTCCCTCCTGTTGCCCAACGATGCCACCATCCAGACCACCAAGTGGGAGCTCCAGAAACCAGCTGGATTTAAAGCAAAGGTAAATAGAAGTTTTGGAGGCGTAGCAGGGAGACATCTGGCTCATGACAGGCTGGAACAAAGCTCCCCACCGATGCCCAGTGGCAAAACAAGCAGGATAGGTAGGCCTTGGGCCCAGAAGGCGGAAGGTATAGCCGCTGTTCGACAAGGGCGTGGGGAGCAGCAACCGAAGGGGAGGTCATCACGCTGGCAAGAGATGGGGAGGGATCCTGTCGCGGGTGGGATCTCCTGGATTTTCTCAGCTCGGCTCCCCAGGCTCTGGCCCACTTTCTCTCTGCCCTGAGCCTGGCTCACACTGTGCGCTTGTGGGGGTGTCCACAGAAAGTGAGTCCAGCAGTTGCACAGGTAGAACATGCGACCCTCACACCAGCCGCACAAGTGGCTTCCGCTTCCACACATCTAACTTGCTAGCTTTGCATGTTTAGTGGGAGAATCACTTCGTGCCAGAAAGGGGCCCGCTGGCTTCCCCAAGCATCTGTAGACTTGCCCTCGGCTTGGCTCCCTTGCCTCCCAGGGCCAAGTGCAAGGGAACTCCAGCCAGCCCACCAGAGCCAGATTCTGGGGGGAACTTCCCATCACCTAATGCTCTTGGATGAAGGTTGTACTAAAAATCTTAATAACACCAGTTAAAAATAATTGTTGCATGTCGTTAGAAACAATGAAGCTGAGAAGAAATCAAGGCTGTGGATCTATTCATACCTATAAATGACCGCTTGATTAGGCAATCGGAGGCCGATAAAGGCTGGGCAGAAGAAGCTAAAGTTAGCTGCACATCCTTCAGAAGCAAAGTAAATCCATTTAGGGCTCGATCTTATGCAAGTTTAGGCAGACAAATGTTCTATAGCTCCCAGCATGCCCCAGCCGGGCGGCTTTTCCCTAACTAAGCTTGCCTAGGATTGTGCTTTTAATGAAGGAATAGTAGCAACCCCGTTTCTCCAGCCTCGGCAGATGTACAAGTGCACTTGGAATCTGCAATTAGCTAGGATTTCCTGTGGCGTCCTCAACAAGCAGGTCTTTCTTCGGTCAGAACATTGACACCCATTGATGCTCCGGCATCGTCCATTATGAAAATATTTAGGGCGTGGGCTCATTATGCATTGACCATTGTCTTCTGTGTGATTTACTTTATCTGCTGTGGGTGCCGTCTTTTCCTTCAATGTTTCTATTTGTCCCATTAGGTTGATTCAGTCCAGTTTAATGTCTGGGATATTGGAGGTTCCACCAGTATGTCTACAGTGAACCAGTGTTTCTTCACAGATAAGGCATTGTATGTTGTCGTCTGGAACTTGGCCCTTGGGGAGGAAGCCGTTGCGAATCTTCAGTTTTGGTTGCTGAACATTGAGGTAAGGGACAAGTTGTTGGTTTTGCAGGGTGGTAGAAATATCCAGAGTGTGGATGGACTGGTTTGTTTGTGTGTGTATTGAATTTATATGCCACCAAACTGGCAAATATCCTTGAGGGTGGCTTTTCATCAAAGACCAATCCAATGCTAAAATAGCTACAAAAGTTCAAACTAGTAGCACACAAAAATATTGAAGAGGCAAATATTGAAGCAAAATTAACACTATGCATTACTATAGTGTTATTAATGTCATTAATAATTATGAAATTCATGAATTTCATAATTATTCATGCTGGTATTTTGTATATTTTTTGTTCCACCCTTTTTGCCTAATCCCCTTTCTAAGCGCACTGCTGGAATGCCCCTCCAAGAACTCTGAAATTTAATTAAGCTGTCCTGCTTGACATGGTCAGAACAGGCATTTCTGGGAAGAGATGTAATTACCATACGGAGCTAGAATATTTATGGCTGCTGCCAAGAACTGGGCATCCAGGAGTACCTTCAGGGGGTGGAGCTGAATATGCAAGGGCTCTGTGACCACATCCAAACCAAACTGCAGCCTCACTCCACAGCCTCCTTTACAGGCAGGGGCATCACTGCCCCGCCCAGATTCAGTTTCAGTGTTTTGTCCACATCTGATCCACCATCGATACTGGACATTCCTTCCCTGTTGCACTCACAAAGGAAGAAATTCCTGTCTCAAAATGCACATGGTGTCTGCATTTGTATAGGTTCTTACTATAATCAACAATTACTATTATTTACAAATAATGTATAGATAATTACGAGTACTTTCTTGGTTAATTGTAATGTTTTGAAACAAGTAATCAGCTGATTGGCTAAAGCTGCAATCCTGCGGATCCTTTCCTGAGGGTAAACCCTATTGAATACACTGGAGTTGCTTTAATCACTAATTTACTATTGCATTTTTCTTCTTGCAAAAAAATGAATGCCTTAGCTGCCATAGTTCTCCTCGTCTCCATTCTGTCTTGACCTCAACAACCCTGTGAGGTAGGCCAGGCAGAGAGTCAGTGGCTGGCCCCAGATCACTGAGTGAGTTTGACGGCTGAGGAGGGCCAGGTCCCAGGCCGACCGCTCGCCAATCATGGCCCGCTGGCTCTCCCTGAATAAGCAAAGCCTTGCCATGCGAGCCTGCTAGCCTCCCTGCAAGGAAATTGTCCATTCCCACAGGTACCCACGAGATGAATGGCTGCTTATAATGGCTGTTAAGCTTGGGAGGTTTCTTCCATTTTGTTTTGGGTTTGCTGCCTGGATCTTTATTGAAATATGTCTGTCCTGCACTGGCTGTTCTGCTGCAGATCCCCCAAGGTGGCTGACAACCATTTCAAATTAGAGCAGTAGATGGAAAAGAAAACCTACAGCCAGACCAGATAACAGGCTTGAAAGCTGCAAACATAAATATTGCTGAGAAGAAGCAAAACAGTTGGTTAAGCAAGCCAAAAGCAAGATAAAATATTGTTTCAGTTGTTTGTTTATGGCATTTTTATCCTTCCCTTCAGCAAAAAAGTTCCCAAGATAAGAAGGAAGACAGTTCCTTCCTATATGCTTAACAGTGTAAGAGACAGGAAGCACGCAGAAAAGGGTCTGGCAGGGAGGAAGGAAAGCAAATCTGCTATGAGGTTCTCCGCTCCAAGTTCTGTGGGTCATGGGACCGGTTCTCACATGGGAGAGCGGATCCTTCCTCTCCTTCTGAAGGCCTCTGCTGTGGCAGCTAGAATGGGGAAGGAGGGACGTTCAGCTGGAACCCTGGAGGGAACAGGCCATCAAAGAAGGGGCAACCGGGGACTCTTGAGCCTATGGGTTCCAGACCTTGGGGGCCATGCTGGGGAAGACCTTGTCACCTGCGTCCACCAACCACCTTCTGCTAGTGACGGATGCAGGACACAGCCACTGCTGCCTCCTCCTCCTCCTCCCCCCATCATCATCACTCCATGTGGGTAAGCCAGGTCACGTGGGTGAAGGTGGTCCTTTAGGAAAGGGAAGAAAAACCCTGGCCCTGAACCATTCGGGAATCCTGCATTGGTTACGTCATCAGAACCATGTGCAGGAGATGCTGCCCTGCCTGGAGGGCCAGCTGGGCAGAATGGTGAGAGTGTCAGACTGAGGCTTGGGAGACCCGGGCTCTAGTCCCCACCCTGCCATGACGTTCACTTTGGTGAGTCGCAGGCTCTCAGCCCAGCCCACCTTTCAGGATTGTTGTGAGGATGGAGGGAAGACCCTCGTGAACCACCTTGACTCTTTGCGAGGGGAAGAACGGCAGCGCAGGCACGTGCGTCGCCCTTTGCGAGGGGAAGAACGGCAGCGCAGGCACGTGCGTCTCTCTTTCCAGGCCAAGGCCCCAAACTCGGTTGTGCTGGTGGTTGGGACGCACCTTGACCTGATCGAGACAAAATTCCGCGTTGAGCGGATTGCCACCCTGAGGGCCTACGTCCTGGCTCTCTGCCGCTCCCCTTCTGGCCTGCGAGCCACTGGCTTCCCGGACATCACACTCAAGCACTTGCAGTAAGTACAACTGGTCCCCGGCATGGGGCCCACAGACCCCGTGGCGCCTCTTTTCATGCTCACCAGGGGCCAGACCTCTCCTGAGCTGCATATTATCTCTTACTGGCTTTTGACTTGCCTGCAGCACAGTGAAGGCCAGCCCTCTCTCTATGGTTCGTAAGGCTAGTTTTGTATTTTCGGAGCTCTGCATTGCACTTGGGCTTGGGGGCATGTTATCCCTTCCCCTCTCCTGCCTGGAATGCCACCCCGCCCAGGGCTGGCTTGCGCTGCAGCCAGCAGGGAAAGAACCACGAGGTTGGAGTCCCAGCTCCGACCTTAGAGCTCCTTTCCCCAGTCGGTCAGAGCTGGGACTCCAGCATTGCCTGTCGGCAGCCGCAAGATTGCATCCTGAGTAAATGAACAGACAAATCATGCAATCCTGCACATGGATGATGAAGAGGTAGGAGCACAACCATCATACCAGAGAGCTTTCTCTGAGCATGTGTATTAAATATGGGTGAACTGGGCCCAGGCCTCAGCTCACAAAAGCCCACCTTCACATCAGTCGTGTTTCAGCAGCCTGCGAGGCCAATATCCTCAGCACAGACTTTGGTGTGCTCATTTTTATGTACTTTTCTGTCTGCTCATTTTTGCTACCCCTGACTTTTTGAACAGGGTTTAGTTGACATGCAAGGAGCACTTGGGTGCTCTTGGGGGCCTTTCTCTCTCCTCCAGAAAGCCTTCCCCAATTTCTCTGGCACTCTCACCCTCACAAAGCAAGGCATGTGCACTCCAATCTGAGAAATCATTGGCTTCCCACGGTTGTCCTCCAGACCTTACTGAAGCATCTTTCATCCTCTTCTAAAGCCATCAGCTCCCAGAAGCCCCCCATGTATTTCCTCTCAGCTGGGGGAGACGGGCAAACAGTTGCTCCCAGGTGACTCCTGCTCCTGTAGAACAATTTCGCATTCACAATCCTTCACCTAGCACTGGCAGCAACACGGCACTTCTGAGCACTGCGGCCGTGTGTGAAGACAAAAATGCTCTTTGCGCTTTCCTCCATCTGAGGGTCTCCTGCCCTCTCCGCCCACTGCAAGTTTGGGAACAAAAGATGCTACCTCGGAAGCAGTCCCCTTGAATTTCCACTCCCTCCCACCCCAAGAGTAAGTGGGGATGACGAAGAGCAAGGCTTCGTGGCGCTTCATGAGGACAGCTGCCTCCACGCGGCAAGCAGCAATGGCCGAAGGAGAGTGATACGGAAGAGGCAGCTCCTGCGTGGCAAGGCTGAATCCAGAAAGACCTTTAGCAGCCTTGTCCTGAAGGCTCAGGCCCTGCCATTCATTCCCCACGAAATGGCACTTCAGGGTTGGTTGCACCAGCCTTACTACCGATGACCCCCCTCCATTCCCCAACCAATTAGTTTTACAGGTCAGGCAGTAGCTAGCCATAAGCCAACTACTGCTTGACACAGGGAAGACTATGAGCCTGGGCTCCCCAACCTTTTTGGACCTGCAGGCTTACTTGGGAATTTGAGGAACTGCTGTGGGCGCCCACACAAAACACTTGATCTGTGCAACGTTGGATGTTTGCTTCCTGTGTGCTGGATGCTGCAGTCTCTCTTTAATAAGTGATAGCTCAGTTGGCTTGTGGCCCCACCAGGAGAAGAGCCTTCAGTGTGGTGGCCCCATTTCTATGCAGTTCTCTGCCTTGGGAGGTTAGAGAGGCTTTCAGTCTGCTGATGAAGTCTGTGCTCCAGGAAACCTTTCTTGCTGACCATCCACAGTTTTACAGTTATCCCTTTGTTAATGCATTTCTTTTAATTCCTTTACCTGATTTTTCTTTTCATTATTCACCAATCTAGGATCTTTCTAGATCCAGAATAGCATAAAAGAGCTATAAATACATACAAGGTAAAAATATTAAAAATAAATAAAATGAGGCAGAGGAGGAGCTGCAGGCACCCCTGCTGGGCTCTGCCAGGCGATGGCATGGATTTCGGTCCCTGCTTCCGGGCTGCTCCCACAGTAGGGACGGGGCAGGAGTCACAAGTGCCTCCAGATGCTGCCAGCCCAAAGAAGAAGCCTTCCCGATGAGTGACAGTGTTCTCCTTGCTCCAAGTGCGTTCTCCTTGCCCATTTTTGCTTTGCAGTGAGCTCTCTTGCAAGACTCTCGAAGGCCTGGATGGGCTGCGACAGCTGATCTATCACGTCACGGCTAACATGAAGGATGTTGGCAGTTCCATTGGCTCGCAGAGACTCGTTGGGCGATTGGTGCGTATGTTTCCCTGGTGTGGAAAGCCGCATCAGCTTGGAGGGCTCCGGGTGTCTCCTGCTACTGCAGTGCCTAGCAGGCTTCTCCTGAAGTCACGGTGCTGCCAGCATGGCGTTTGTGCTGAACGCTTGGGCACTGGGGAGCTGGGCAGGTGATGTGCACTCAAGCCAAAGCCAGTGATGCCCCCAGCCAACTTGTGGATTCGCTTTGCTCTGGGTTGCATTTCTCAGTAGGGCTGGAGGCTGGTGTCAACCTATGTAATCTGCGATGGGTACAGTTCAGACCGAATGCTAGCAGAGAGCAGCCTCTCTCTTCCAGTCCCACAGGGCATTTCCGTAATCCCACTTCCAGGTTGCTTTCGAGTGTTTCATAGTGCAGGAGTGAGGGATGTCTCTCAGCCTGAGGACCGCGTGAGAACCTCGCAGGAGCCACATGGCAGGGAAGGGTGCGGCAAAGTGGGTGGGCCCCAAAAGAGAGAATCGAGCGGCATATCACGCCATGCTCTTGTTGCCACTGAGGTGTTAATTACGCAAAAGAAAAGCGCTTCTCTTTGGCCTCCCATACCTATGGGAGGCCAATTTAGTGGGATGGCTTCAGGTTCTAGTAATATGTGAGAGGGGAATATGGTGCATATGTCCTATCCCATCCGCACCATAATTGTATAAGCTTCTGTTGAGTTGTGTCTCAGCCCCAACAGCCACGGTATTGTCCGCCGCCTCCGTAAAAGCAGCTCAAGCCACTGCTTTGCTCATGTCAGTATAACTTGATTGTCAGTATAACTTGACAGATTCCAAGAAGCTACTTAAGCCTCCAAGGATCCATCTTACATGAACAGCAGAGGAGAAGCCAAAACGACAGTGTACAGTACTTAACAGACAAGGAAATAGAGCAGATTGTAGAGAACGCCCCAGGCAATGACATCAAGGACTTTGAGGACTTACAGTCTGGTAAGCGTGGAAGCCAGTGTCCGCAGAGTGTCTCGGGGCACTTGGGTCTAGATGTGTGCATCGTCTTTGTGTGCGCTTTGACGCAGTGTGGGTGTGGGGAGGCAGCGAGCCTTTCCTAGCACTGAGCACTGCTCCGGCATCGAGGTTAGAAGAGCAAGCTGTGAGCCAGGGCAGTGAGAGGGAAAGCACACCGTAGCCGCAGACTCACTGGTCAGGAGCAGCAGTGCCGGCCTATTTTACATGGTTTGTTGAAAGAATTCCTACGGCAACTTGCCTGGCCCAATTTGGGGAAGGACTGAATAAATACCCTCGGCAGAGATTTTTGGGTTCTTAAGTTGCAAGGCAAAGGTTGATGCTGACCTGCCCCAACCTTGTAGCGAAATGGAAGACTCGGCCACTGGGGCTTCCCCTGCCTGTCTTCCGCTGGCCTCTTCTGCCACTTTCCTACCTCCTTCGCCTGCCTGCTCAGAGCCCCCCTTGCTAGCTGCCTGGCTAGTGAACGAGAGGCCTGGGGAGAGGAGAGGGGAGCGTTGTGAGCAGCGCCCAGTTCACTGGGGAATTCCAGGACATAACAGCCCCACAAGCTGGAGCCTAGGAACTCAAGTAGTATTATTTTAAAATATCTTAGTAATTCTGTGTTTTCCCATCTTCGATCCTGCAGTGCTGTTTATTATCATAATCCCTGTAAAGTGATACTGTATTTTACAGGGTGCTGTCATGTTTACTCATTTTCTGTTGCTGGTTTTATTGTGGGTTTATATGTATTTGTATCATTAATATAAAGCACTTAGAAATTCATTTTATGGAGCAGTTAATGAACAAATAGTTGCCATTTACTTTTGCATTACTGCAACGGTTCATGATTGTCGTCATGCTGAGCTGACCCTGGTGTCTTTCTTTCTGCACAGCCATTAGTTTCCTCATAGAGACTGGAACGCTGCTGCACTTCCCTGATACAAGCCACGGACTCAGAAACCTCTACTTCCTTGACCCAGTTTGGCTGTCCGAGTGCCTGCAAAGAATCTTCAACATCAAAAGCTCCAAGTCAGTGGCCAAGAACGGTGTGATCAAAGCAGAGGACCTCCGGATGCTGCTGGTTGGGACGGGGTTCACCAAGCAGACGGAAGAGCAGTATTTCCAGTTCCTCGCCAAGTTCGAAATTGCGCTTCCAGTAGCCAACAACAGGTACACTGGTAATTGTCACCAGAGGTGTGGCTGATCCCAGAAGAGGGAGACGGGGGGCGGGGGGGAATGGGAGCCTCTGCTGCTTATTTTAGCATCTGCTGTTTGAAGGATGCAGCAGCCTCCAGAGTGTGTGAATGTGTGTCCGTATAAGACGTTGGATTGTGTGTCCAACCTGTCCCCCCTCCCCCGCCCCCGGCAATTGGAGGAATCCGCATTGGGGCCGGGAATTAGATGGGTTCTGTGGACTTGGCTTTGCCTTCCTGGACTCCGGTCTGCTCTGTCAGGGCCATGGCTCTGGGTTCTGGGGAAGTGTGCTCAGTGCTCTCCCAGCACATGCCAGGGGTTGAGCCCTGCACGACTGCTGCACAAGCGGCATCCCTCTTCCACGTCGTAGGAAGCAGCCTGTGTTTGCGCTGCTGTGTGCAGTGCAGAAGAACGTTACTGGTTGCGCAACCTTCATTTGCATGAGTGTTTGTAGACTTACTCTCAGCTCCACTTGCTTTCTAAGACTGGGCTGAGCACAAGAGGAAGTTCATGAATGCCAGAAGGACGGATTCCATGGAACGGTTCCCTCCTAATTTGGTTATCAGGTGCATTTAGGGGGTGTGGTTGTGGTTGTGCCAGCCTGGGAGACTGATTTCATCAAGGCCATGCTGATCAGCTCCAGAGCCACTTGATAAGAGCAGCAAAAGAGCAGGTAAGGCTCACTTTCCACCACTGGATCAGCAGCTGCTCTTCCCCTAAGACTGGGCTGAGCACAAGAGGAAGTTCATGAATGCCAGAAGGACGGATTCCATGGAACGGTTCCCTCCTAATTTGGTTATCAGGTGCATTTAGGGGGTGTGGTTGTGGTTGTGCCAGCCTGGGAGACTGATTTCATCAAGGCCATGCTGATCAGCTCCAGAGCCACTTGATAAGAGCAGCAAAAGAGCAGGTAAGGCTCACTTTCCACCACTGGATCAGCAGCTGCTCTTCCCCTGGTGCTGAAAACACTCGGAAGGCCCGTCACTTGTTCCACAATTACATTTTTCTTTTGTGCTGCCTCAAAACCATGTGATTGGGATTGCATTTTTTCTTTTGCGTGTGTGTCCTTATGGCTATTGGATGTGAGCACTCGCAAGACCAGGTTGCCTCTCAGCAAATTCGAAGAGAGTTGCAAGGACCTGGCAAGGAGTGACAGTAAGAGAAAGCACAAGTCGGAAGCACCAAAGTTGCGGTAGGGTAAACCGAAGGCACAGGTGCACTAGAAATAGGGAGGCAGTAGCTCCCCCTTGGCAAAGTGATCCTTTCCATTTAAAGTGTTCCCTGGACACTTCTCCATGTTCTTCCCCTTTTCAGCCCTTCCCCGTGTCTCCAGCTACTCCAGAAAGGAATTACCTCCCCAGCCCCCTTTTGCAGGTCCTTTTTGGAGCAGTTCCTGCAGTTCCATGGCAGTTTAAAAAAGCAACATTAATGCTAAGCATGGTCAGTTCAGCATCAAAGATCAAGAGGACTGTATTGTTAAGGAGGAAATACTGACCTCGCCTCTCCTTCCTTTTGCTGCTTTCCCTCTTCTTCTGACGCTCTTCAGTTGATCTTGTACCAACTGGTCCCTGGCGACTGTGCACAGCTGAGCCTGTAAGCAACTTTGTCTGGTCCATCTGTCACCTGCTCCACTTCCCTACTCCTGCTGACAGCTGAAACAGACGGAGAAATTGACTGGACAAGAATACATTTTGGACAGCCATAAGAGTGCATTTATGAAAGACAGACCGAAATGATAATGACGACGACAACAACAGGAATAAGAACTGCAAACACAGTGGCACAATTTTCAGCTCCTCCCCCACAGCCCTAAATACAGCCACCATTCTTCTTCTTTAAGGCTCTGCTTTGATTGGTTTGGTTTTTGAATGGAAAGGTGTAGCAATCAGGAAGGGGAGGAAAAGACAAGAGGGTTCTGCTGCGAAGGACACTGGGATACATGCCAGAGCTGCCCGGAGGACTGAAGTGGAAGGAGGGGGAGAACAACCCATGTTAAGCCAGACCACCTGTCAGGGACACTGGTTTCTTCAGCAAGCAACCTACTCAGGTGGCTCATTCACAGCATGGCTTGGTGTGGCATGTGAGAGCCCCTCTTGCCTCTCCCCATAGCTTTAGATTTATCTGCATCTGATCCACAGATGGTCTCAGTTTGTCCAAAGATCCACAGGGGAGCCATGAAATGAATCCAGATGTACTCCAGATTAATACTGGGGCTGACCTCAGCTATGTTCTGAGGGGCATTTTGTTAAGTTTTGTTAGTCGTTTCAGTTCTTCGTCGTGGCCTCTGTGCATCACACATACGGGTTCTGCGCCTGCGCAGTGCCTTTGGCCAGAAGACTGATAGCTAACGGTTTGGCGGGAAGCTCCGCTCCCCCTCCCCACTAGCAATATATGGAGCGGAGTGTCCGCCATTTTTCAGTCTTTGCGACTGCCGTTCTTTGTGCCTCTTGCCGCTTCGCTCTTGCTTAGATCGTTCCTCGTGCTCTCTTGTTTCAAACTCTTTCTCTTGTTTTCCAAGTTAGTATTCCCATCTTACCTTAATTGCATTGTTCCAGTTATTCTCTTCATTTTTTCTCATTCCTATAAAACAAAAAACAACAACAACAACAAAAAGATTATCTATTCCTGCTATACTATCTTCTTCTTTTTCCGCGATGGCTCAACGAGCGGCGTTCCGCAAGTGCGGAGAGTGTGGCTCTAAAATGCCCGCTGCGGATCCGCACGACCTGTGCCTCCCCTGTTTAGGGGAGGGTCACAGGACGGACAAGTGCGGCCATTGCCTGGCCTTCTCTAAACAGGCCAGGAAGAACAGGAAGCTCCTGTGGGATCAGGCCCTCCTATAATCGAACCGGCTGGTGGCTAAGCCTGCTACAACCTCAGCCCCACCAGACTGCCGTCAGTCTTCAGCTGATCCGCCGCAACATCTGGCCCCTTCCTCTGCTGCTCCACCCTCACACCCTTTAGGCGAAGGTGCTTCTGCCATGGGAGAGCAGCCTGTTTCTCTGCCCAAGAAACAGCAGGAAAAGAGGAAGCACAGCAGCCCTGAGAAGCCGCCTGTGCACAAGAAGGCCAAAAGAGACAAGGCCGAGAAACCGGCAAAAAACCCGAAGAGACCTGAGCATTTGAAACACCGACACTTGAGTTCGGAGGCTTCCTCGGTTCCGACCGCGATCCTGGTACTGACGTCTTCGGGTCCGACCATTCAGACGGCGAAGAGAGTGACTCCTCCAGCCTCTCCGCGCCGTATGGGATTGGAGCTACACCAGGATCCACCTCGTGGCTCGATCTCTGATGGTGAGATCCAAGATTCTCCGTTGAGGGCTCGGTCCCCGTCACCTATGCTGCCTGTTGGGCTCGATCCAGGAACCGGGTTGTCCCCGTCGAGAAGCCAGAAGAGCCGGTCTTCTGAAGCTCGCTCTGATGACTGGTACCATTCCCGGTACTCTTCCTCACTGAGATGGCCCGACTATCCATCTGTCGGATATTACCCGGCTCCTAGAGGCCGATCTTCCCCAACCGAACATCGGGATCGACCTCATTCTACGGCTTCAAGAGGCGACGGGCACACACCGTCCCCAGAGAGCGGGAGATCACAGTCGCCAGGGGACTCCTTCTCTAGCGCTCCGCCTCCATATTGGGTGGACTCGGATGAGTCCGAGGTCTATTCGACTTCACCCGATGCTGCGGTCACCTCACAAGGCCCGGCATCACCGGAAGAACCGCCTATCACGTTTGCTGAACTGATGTCCAGGCTGGTGAAGTCATTGGAGATTGAGGCTGATCAACAACCTGGCCCCAGCACTGATCACTTTTATGATGTAGTGCGGAGGGAACAATCAACCTCTATCGCTTTACCACTTATTACAACTCTCTGACAAGCGATGACCGAATCGTGGGACCTCCCAGCACAACCACAACTGACCTCGAGAAGATACGAGGCAATGTATAGAGTTCGTGAGGGGGACATTCTCTTCCTCCTCCGCCACCCCAGCCGAATTCGGTGGCGGTAGAATCTTCTCAAGGCCGGGAGGCACAGGGCCACACAACGCCCAGAGATAAAGAGGAAAGGAAGATCGACTCCCTCATGCGCGGGGTCTATGCAGCCTAAGAATTTTGAATTATGAGGCAACCCTGGCGCGTTATCAATATTTCATTATGCAACACCTGGACAATATCATCGCCACCCTCCCAGATAATCAAGGCGACTTGGCATGGGTGTTTGTAAAGAAGGCAATGCAGGTCGCGGTGGAACAGCTATCCACAGCTAGGCACCATGTGGATACAGACTTGAGGGCTCTTGTCAGTTCCATCTCTCTCCGGAGATACGCCTGGTTGTGTAACTGCAACTTTCCGGAAGAGATGAAGAGAAGGATCGAGGAGATGCCTTTTGATGGATCCAGCCTCTTCAACGCTAAGACTGATCACAAGTTGAAGAAGATCCACGAGTCGAGGATGACGGCCCGGCATATGGAAATGCAACTTCTTCCTCGACGTAAGTGGTCGTGGACCCGTCCACAGTATAGACAACAATACCCACCCCACCAACAGCCACAACATCGCCAGCAACACAGCAAACAACCACCCCAGCGATTCCAGCAAAGCCGCCGCCACTTCGAAGGAGATAGACGCCAGCACTGATGGGGCGGGCAAACCTTTCCTCTCCTTCCAACCCCACCCTCCCCCCTCTCATTTGGGGACTGGCTGAAAAGCCGACTCCCCATTTGGGAGTCCATTACATCTGATGGGTGGGTGTTATCCATCATCCAGCACGGATAAAGAATTGAATTCGACATAGTTCCATCGTCGAGTCCTATCCGGTTTACTCCATGCTCGCCGGTATTGTTAGACGAGGTTTATCAACTCCTGTCTAAAGGAGCTATATGTCGCTTATCTTCATCAGAAGGACTCCACGGATTCTATTCTAGATATTTTATGGTCCCGAAACGAGATGAAGGTCTTCGACTGATATTGGACCT